GGGGGGCGGTGCCAGCAGTTCCAGTTGATTTATTGTTGGACATATTTTTGCTCCGGGGGCACTTGGCTTTCCCCGGGGCGCAAATCCCCCCCCCCACCGAGATATAGCTTAAAGAAACCCTGACCACAGGTATACGTGATATAGGCAGATAAAGCTTCACCCAACTTCAGTGCCGGCCACAGGTATACGTGATATAGGCAGATAAAGCTACACCCAACTTCAGTGCCGGCCACAGGTATACGTGATACAGGCGGCTGTTTAGTGCGGAATATTTTTAAGGTGAACAAATTCCAGCAAAATCAATAAATATAATATATATTTTTAATTTAAACTAATACAAACACAGGTAAGATCTCGACAAGAAAGAGACAATTTTAAAGTGAAGTTTCTGTTGTTCTAATTCTACTTCTAGAAAAGAATTTTAAAGTTTATTTTTTAGCTAGATTTTGGATACAGCATGTCATTCACTTTATGGTCGATTTTTAGTTATCCTAAACTGTGACTCACTTGCCTTGTGTATGAGATTAAACAAGCTAGAGAACATTGTTTTTTTTAGAACAAATAAGTTTCACCAAAGAATGCATTGGCTTAAACATCTGAATTTTAAGATACAGCCTCACTGCATGGTGTAGGTTTAAGAAGTGTCGGTGGTTTGGTAGGTTTAAGAAGTGTCTGTGGTTTGGTATGTTTAGGAAGTGTCTGTGGTTTGGTAGGTTTAGGAAGTGTATGTGGTTTGGTAGGTTTAGGAAGTGTCTGTGGTTTGGTAGGTTTAGGAAGTGTCTTTCGTTTGGTAGGTTTAGGAAGTGTCTGTGGTTTGGTAAGTTTAGGAAGTGTCTTTCGTTTGGTAGGTTTAGGAAGTGTCTGTGGTTTGGTAGGTTTAGGAAGTGTCTGTGGTTTGGTAAGTTTAGGAAGTACCTTTGGTTTGGTAGGTTTAAGAAGCGTCTTTGGTTCGGTAGGTTTAGGAAGTGTCTGTGGTTTGGTAGGTTTAGTAAGTGTCTTTCGTTTGGTAGGTTTAGGAAGTGTCTGTGGTTTGGTAAGTTTAGAAAGTACCTTTGGTTTGGTAGGTTTAAGAAGCGTCTTTGGTTCGGTAGGTTTTGGAAGTGTTTGTGGTTTGGTAAGTTTAGGAAGTGTCTGTGGTTCGGTAGGTTTAGGAAGTGTCTTTCGTTTGGTAGGTTTAGGAAGTACCTTTGGTTTGGTAGGTTTAAGAAGCGTCTTTGGTTCGGTAGGTTTAGGAAGTGTCTGTGGTTTGCTAGGTTTCGGAAGTGTCTGTGGTTTGGTATATTTAGGAAGTATCTTTGGTTTGGTAGGTTTAAGAAGCGTCTTTGGTTCGGTAGGTTTAGGAAGTGTCTGTGGTTTGGTAGGTTTAGGAAGTGTCTTTCGTTTGGTAGGTTTATGAAGTGTCTGTGGTTTGGTAAGTTTAGAAAGTACCTTTGGTTTGGTAGGTTTAAGAAGCTAAGAAGCGTCTTTGGTTCGGTAGGTTTAGGAAGTTTCTGTGGTTTGGTAGGTTTAGGAAGTGTCTGTGGTTTGGTAGGTTTAGGAAGACATTTTTCGTTTGGTAGGTTTAGGAAGTGTCTGTGGTTTGGTAAGTTTATGAAGTTTCTGTGGTTCGGTAGGTTTAGGAAGTGTCTATGGTTGGTAGGTTTAGGAAGTGTCTGTAGTTTGGTAGGTTAAGGAAGTGTATGTGATTTGGTAGGTTTAGGTAGTGTCTTTCGTTTGGTAGGTTTAGGAAGTGTATGTGGTTTGGTAGGTTTAGGTAGTGTCTTTGGTTTGGTAGGTTTAGGTAGTGTCTGTGGTTTGGAAGGTTTAGGAAGTGTCTGTGGTTTGGTAGGTTTAGGAAGTGTATGTGGTGTGGTAGGTTTAGGTAGTGTCTTTGGTTTGGTAGGTTTAGGAAGTGTCTGTGGTTTAGTAGGTTTTAGGAAGTATCCGTGGTTGGTAGGTTTAGGAAGTGTCTGTAGTTTGGTAGGTTTAGGAAGTGTCTTTCGTTTGGTAGGTTTAGGAAGTGTATGTGGTTTGGTAGGTTTAGGTAGTGTCTTTGGTTTGGTAGGTTTAGGTAGTGTCTTTGGTTTGGTATGTTTAGGAAGTGTCTGTGGTTTGGTAGGTTAAGGAAGTATCTTTGGTTTGGTAGGTTTAAGAAGCGTCTTTGGTTTGGTAGGTTTATGAAGTGTCTGTGGTTTGATAGTTTTAGGAAGTGTCTGTGGTGTGGTAGGTTTAGGAAGTGTCTTTGGTTTTTGGGGGTTGGGGGGGGGAATGCTGTAGGCGCACCACACTTTGATATAACGGTCAAAACCGATTTGTGGCCGACTGGCCTCGCCGCGCTCAGGTCGTTAAAGATCCGCACGCGATTCGCGATTTGCCGACCACTGATCTACTCCAATCAAACCAAATCCTCTCATAATCTCTCCTTTGACTTGATGACGTCCCTTATAAATTTGGTATACACTTTTATTATTCTTAGACAAACATGTTAAAAGCTCTAAAAGAATTAGCTATTTATTTAACACACAAGACCAAATCAAGAGGGCATGAAATTATTTTTTGTTTTTTTTTCTTTCAAAAATTAACTTTATTTTCCAGTTAGATGCAAAAGTCCAAGTTGATTTAAATTGATCTATTTAGATTATTATAGATCTTTTAATTGTATCTTGTTTTCCAAGCTTGGGAAAACAAGAGAATAAAAATTATATTGAAGCATTTTAATTACAGAAGTTAGTAAAAAAAAAATTCCACCAATTTTTAAAATTGTTCTAAATGTTTTTAAAAATAATATTTATAACACAACGGCGCATAAGCTTGACACTATCAAGTACATACTTATGATATCACGAAGTATACTTAATTAAAGCATAAAGTACACTTTATGACAACATGAAAATGAACTTAATAACATCATAAAGTCATATGTGATAACTCTCTGAGCAAAATTGTTTTTTTTTTTTTTTACAAAATATATTAAAATAATATTTTTTTAAATTTTAAAATTATTTGTTTACATTTGAATTGACGGGGTGTCCAAGAATAAAAAGCATGTGTCATCTTCGCCATGACATATGACATTCCTATTGACACATTCCACCCTCTTTTTAATAACATCATAAAGTCATATGTGATAACTCTCTGAGCAAAATTGTTTTTTTTTTTTTACAAAATATATTAAAATAATATTTTTTTAAATTTTAAAATTATTTGTTTACATTTGAATTGACGGGGAGTCCAAGAATAAAAAGCATGTGTCATCTTCGCCATGACATATGACATTCCTAGTGAAACATACCACACTCTTTTGGCCTGCCCGTGACGTGTGGCATTCAGGCAAATGTGGATGAGCTATTGGAGGACTCACATGTTTATTGGTTTTTTTTGCTAATAACATTCAAACCCAAACTGGGGTCAAAGGTATCTCGGGGGTCAGAGGTATCTTGGGGGTCAAAAGTCTCCCTGGCGAGGATTTAAAAAAAAAAAGAAATTTAAATGATTTAAGCACGAGGACTGGGTCCGACCTAAGAGAGCGGAGCAGTTTAAGAACGATATTTTTCTCTTTCTTGAAATGTCTCTAAATCCGCCATTATATTGAGATAGGACGGTTTCGGGACACAAGGCTGATTCAATGGTGTGTATGCTTCATTTCAGGCAACATCTTCGCAACTTATTGTAGTTTTCCGATATTTTTTACAACTGTGGACCTCGCACGACGCAAAGAAAAATCCATGGATATTCCATCATCTTTATCTCATGACGCGTTGAGGCCACGGATATCCCAACATCCTCATCTCACGACTTGTTGAAGGTCATGGATTCGTCTCTCGCCCTCCGAGACTTGCGCTCGTTACTCAGGGCCTGTATGCTCTCCTCGAACTTCTCCCTGACCTCCTTCAGCTTCCTGAGGTAGTCGTCCTGGTCTCGGAACAGCTCTACGAGCGAGGGAGTGAAAACGCGTCCCCCAGAGCTGGGCGTGGAGTCGCTAACCACTCTTCGTTCAGGCACTTCTTCTGTTTTGGTTTTGGACAAGTCTCCTGTGCAAAACAAAAATATGTGTTGATTTCCAAAGCCCCAAATCTCTTTAATCGAAACAAGCAGTTAACAAGGGCATTCATTCTACGTTTTCTTCACGATATTTTGGTGTCAATTCTTTTGACTTGAAAAAACGCGTTGTCGTGCGTCCAATTATAGTTACCGCCCCTGATATCTACTCTCTTATTTTTTTGTCTCAGAAAGTGTTTCAAATTGTGACTAATTGGAAAATCCAGTGTAATAAATACCAGCTAACAAATCCCATCTAACAAAGCCCATTCAACAAATCCATTCAATGAATCCCATCTAACAAATCCCATAAAAAATGCCAACCAACAAAGCCCATCCAACAAATGCCATCCAACAAAGCCCATCTAACAAATCCCATCTAAGATATCCCATCCATCGAATCCCATCCAACAAATTACATCCAACAAAAGCCATCCAGCAAAGCCCATCTAATAAACCCCAACGTTGAAATTACCTGAAGCCTCCAACTGGTCTTGACCGCGACAAGACAAATTTGTCTCTTTCTGGACGTCTGACTTCTTAGATCCGAGACTTGTGTCAGTTGTGTCAGTGCTATCTGCCTCTGAACTGGATAACCAGCGTCGGCTCAGCACGTCATGTCCGCCATTCTTGTGACTGTAATCTGGTACCTTCAGTTTCCCAGGGTTTAGGCTAAAAGAGCACTTCGTGGGGTAAGTGTGGGGGCTCAAGTCAATCGGGGCGCCTGAAGAGTACGATACAGAGGTGGTGTTACGTGTGTTCAAACGACCACCCTCGACGCAGCCCGGCTTCTCTTCTATCTCACAAATAGCCCCTCCCGGCATGCAGCTGGTGGTGGCGTGTCTTGACGGACATGACGAACCGGACGTGACGCTTTCGTCCTCGTCATCCGCCAAGGCCACCTGGTGCTGAAGCTTCGTCTCCTGATTGGTCATAAAATAATTTAATCGTTTCCCTCGCTCTCTTTTCATTTCTTCGTGGACATCCTGTTCAGAGTTGACTTCTCGCCGGACTGTCTCTTCCATCTCTTCGATTTTAGGCATGGACTTGTGTGGCGATTTCCGGCCGGACAAAAACCGTTCCAATATAGAGATGATGTTCGTTTTCGAACTGGATGATTCCGGCAGACTTGTCGAACTGCCTTGGTCGGACCTCGAATCGGTTGTACTGCTGGCGTTGATCAGTCCTCGAGCCTTGCACAGTTTCTCGAGCTTGCTGATCACTCGGGGGAGTATGAGGTCGGTCCCCGATTCTTCGTTGACCGGCTCCTTGACGTCGTCGTCCCAAGCCACACTTTCTTTTTCTTTCCACGCTCCCTTCTGTGAACTAAACCACTCAGCGAACTCTGCCGGCTTGCACTCCAGTGCCAAAGAAAGTAGTTCCATCAACTCCTGGTCATCGACATCCCATTTAAGCCTATAGAAAGTTTCTTGAGAATTGGACAGCTGCAGACATTGTCTTAGGTCACTGTAGTATTCCTTCAGTGATGGGTCCTCCTGGGAGTTCCTACAGACGTTCTGATCACGTTTGTCGAAATATCGAGCTGGATTTAGTAATAAATCACACGCCTCGGAAGTATTCATCTGACAATCCTGAGAATTGGTCTCCTGGTCACCTGACTGATCACCTGACTGGTCAGAGACTGGACACTTCTGATCGATGTTCCACGTCCCAACATTTTCCAGACCTATGGGGTCTACGTCACCGTCAGTCCTGGCAGCGTGACCTTCCAATTTGCTTTGATCTTGACAATCTGAAATATGTTTGCAACAGTCCCATGTCTCAAAATCTTTAGGATTCTGGTTGTCTAACGCCTCCTTCTCGGAACCCGACCCGATCTCGGTCAAAGTGTTTTTCCTCGCGCACCTGGAGCACTTGATGTTCCACAGGGAGCCCCCCAAGCAGTTGCTCCCATGCTTCACCACGTGCGCATCGGTTGGGCTGGGAGATTTTTGTTCCACGGGTTGATCTCGCGAGCTGTTCCCCTTCTGACCTATCCATCGCAGTCTCCCGTTTTGATCTCGCGTTATAGAGTGGTAGTTAAACACGGTGCCGTCGTCCACATGGTCGAGCACTGGACGTTTGCTCTTCTCCAGGGGTTCTCCAGAATTCGTGCGTATCACTGCGTTATCATGGTCCACGAGCAGACGTTTGTCGTGAAGTTCTCCAGAATTCGGGCGTGTAATTAGACCATCGATATCCACGAGCCGACTTTTGCAATGGCGTTCCCCAGAATTCGTGCGTGTAACTATGGCATCATTGTCCACGAGCAGACGTTTGCCATGGAGATCTCCAGAATTCCTGCGTGTAACTATATCATCACGATTTGCGAGCAGACGTTTGTCATGGAGTTCTTCAGAATTTGCCCGTTTAAGAGTGTCATTCACGATTCTGCATTTTATTTTCTCCCGGATCTCTCCAGAATTCGTGAGTGGTGCTATTTCATTTTGGTCCACAATCAGCCCTTTTGTTTTCTCCTGGAGTCCAAGGGTAATCGAGTGTTCCATTTCGTCCAAGACCATTTGCGTGCCGTTCAGCTCTTCTTTGGCAGACTGTAATTTGGGATAATCGTCCTCCACAATCTCACTGTGCATAGTTGTACCGCACGAATCCGCCGATGTATCGACGCGCTCTTTGCCTTCGTGTTTCTCGAATGTATGGGCCGAGAGCTCGCACAGTTTATCCCTGGTCTCGGATGTGCTCATTTTCACCGTGCTCGTCTCCGTGAGGATGTCCCCGGTGCTTGCTGAAATGTCATGCTGTTCTTTGCAGCACGCGTAGACGGACGAGTCTGTGGTGGTCTTGGAGTTGACGTTGCTGAGGTCGATGCATTCTTCAAATAAATCGTTGCTTAAAATCTCCTGGGGTCCTTTGGCCGAGCCTGCCGTACTTCCAGGACTGGAAGGGTCGCTGAGTTTAGACTTGCAGTCCTGGTACTCCATGCTGTCATCGCACGAGTTGGGTTTCGTTCCGACATCTGACGTCTGCGGGGACACGTTCGTATCAGGGGTGATTTTTACATCCGATTCGAGCCTTTTCCCAGCAACGTCTTCCCTCGACTGGTTTAAAGATTCGTTCTCCACTGCAGAGTGTACAGTCACAACATCAACTACTAGACGCTTCTCACCATCGCCCAGATCTCCTCCACTCTCAACATTGCCACTGTCACATGGTTCCTGGCAAGACTCCAAGTCAACGACAGTGGACAGAGATTTGTTGATGGCCACGCAGTCACCAATGTTGTCAATGACGGGAATTTCAGCTCCACCCTCGCCGAGACCGACCACCGAGTTCACCGCCTCTTTGTTACTGAGTATGTCGTCCCTGTACATGTAGCGTTGGCATAGGCGGGCGTCCACAGCCTCGTTATCGGAAACGCTCGTCTCCGGCAGTGGACTAAAAAAATTAAGGTACTCACAAGTCGCCGATGTGTCCGTGCTGCGTGACGTCACCATCGAGTTAGCTGTACTGTATGAGATATCCGAAGCCGGCGAGAGCAGTCGCTGGAGCTTGACCGGGCTCGTGATGGTCGTCTTCTGCGGCACCGGTATCGGGCACGACTCGCGGTTTAGGAGCTGGTCACTTTTGGCTAACATCTCATTAAATTTAAACACCTTGTCGAAATCGCCGTTGATCTCCGACACGTACGGGTTAAGCTGGTCGGTGACCGGGTCAGTGTCTCTGTATCCGTCCTCCAAATCGCTCAGCACATGGATCTGATCTCCGTTATTGTCAGACACGTTGATGTTCGGAGCTTTTTGGTGCTCGTGAGTCGCGTCCCCAGCTGACTTTGGCGGAGAGGTGATGGTCCGACTCTTGTAGTGGTACATCTCGGGCAGACCGTCCGCGTCCAGTGACCTGACGTACTTGAACATACCCAACTTGGTGCACCTTCCTTGCTCCACGTTGTCCTTCGTCACACCGGGGTAGCGTGTGGGCATGGTACTGATGTGCACACTAGAGTCGGTGGACGGGTAGCAGAGGGCGCTGTCAGAACAAGAACCTTGGCATGTGGTGCAACTGATGAAACTGTCTGAGCCGTAGACACTCTCTCGTTGGCTCCCCCTGTTCCCGCCCAGGTCAAGCAAACTTAGTGATTCAATGCTCGGGGTCAAGTCCAGATCGAAATTGTGAGAATCGTTGTGCTGGGGTCCGTCGTCGTCTGGCACTTCCTTGCACACCCGCAGGCACGAGACGTAGGTCTCATAGGAGATCTCCCTGGCCATTTCTATCTGGTAAGTTTTCTCCTGCTTGGATCTCATGAATTCCGTCATTCGTTCCGGCAGCCGCCACACCAGAGAGCAACCGTTGGACGTTGAGCTGATCATGTATCGGAGATCGTTGGAAAATTTAACAGAGTTGACGTCATTTTGGCTGGACAGTGAAGCTACCGGCTGACCCGTCTGTAGATGATATACGGTTATTTGGCCGGGGCATTGTGTGATGGCCAGAAAACTGCCCGAGGGATCGATGGCCATGGCCCTGTGGCCGCTGCTGCATTTCTGAGTGCAAGGTATCATCTTGCTCGGCTTTCCACTAAACACGGGATCCGCCTTCCATAATTTAATCCCTCCGTTTCCCGCCCCCGTTACGATGTACTCACTCGTGACGTTAAACGATTTGTTGTACCGGGCTTCGGCGATCTCACCTGTGATCGTGAATTTCAACGTGCTCCCGGGTAGCGCCCTGCGCACCAGGATAACGTTGTCGGCAGCGGCGGATACCAAGGTCAGGAGGCCGCTGTTGTGGACAAGACTTAAGGCTGTTATGGCCGCCGAGTGGTCGCACAAGACCTGAACCAAGCCGAAATCTGTTTTAGCGTTCAAAACGAAAATGATTCTGTCTCGACCTCCGCTGCAGACGAGCTGGTACTCGTCGTCGTACATGAGCTCAATGCACGTGACCTGAGAGCTGTGAGCTTCAATGACCCTGCGTAAGAAGCCGGACGCGGCGTCATACACCTTTATCTCGCCCGCATCGTTCCCGCATATTATGTCCTTCCCGTCCGGGGTGAACTGCACGGCATTAGCCTGCTGGAAGCGGGACTTGCTGGCCTTAAAGTTAAGGACGCCGTGGTGCTTTTGAGCCTTGTCGGACATGGTCACCGAATCAAATGCCTTTGACCTCTTCGCTTTCTCGTTGGATCCCACGAGTGACCTGAGAATGCCCGCCTTGTAAGCCTGTTCTCCGAGACCAGCCTCGTTCCCGGCACCTTTCTGCTTGTGTTTCGTCGGCGGTAAAATCATAGAGCAGACGATGGTGTCCTTGAAGCTGTTGATCTGCCACGAATGCATGCTGCCGTCTGAGAATATGCACGTGACGATCGAGTCCTTCTCGTTGACGGCGATTGCCGTGGTGTCAGGGACTTGATTACCGGCAATTTTCGTGAAGCCCTCCGGTCCCAGAAGCTGATTCACGGACACGGCCGCCTCCACGTTCAGCGTGTCCGGATGACAAATCTTGACGACACCCTCGCGGCATCCTACAAAAACGTGATCCATCGCGTACCTGACCACGTAGGCCCGGGTGTCCACCTTGGACGCCTTATCTATGACAATGTCCCCCATCTTGATCTCGCACAGGAAACCGCAGCTGGTCACCGTGTAAACCTCCCGCTCGTGCTTGTTCCGACCGCTGGCGATGTCCACGAATGTGTACTCGCTCTGCCTGCCGAGGAGCACCGCTTTCCTGTCTTGGAACACGTTCGTCTCGTGCGTGTTGGAATCTATGCGGTCGATGTTGAAGAGTGTGACCTTTCGATGACCGCACACCGCGACGTACGCCCCTGGTCTGGGTATGGTCATCGCGAGCGGCGACGTTTGCCATTTCGTCAGGGCCAGTCTGCGCCCGCGCACGTAGTCCCACACTCCGATGTTTAGGTCGCAGTTTCCGAGAGCCACGAGGAAGGCCGATTTGGGATGAAAAGCGATAGCCCTGATGCCCACCGAGTGGTCCACTATGAACTTACTGTATTCTTTGTGCTCTTTCACAAGCCACACGGAAATGTGAGGCTTCAGTCCATGCTCGCCAAAGGCCAACATCCGCCCATCTTCAGTGAAGCTAACGCAAGAGATGCAATGCACGGTGGGGCTCTCCATAAACTTCTGATCGTTAGTTTTTGGGTCAAGCAGCACTAACATGCAGGCCGCAGGAAACGCCACCACGCCCGAGGTGGGACTGTGGGCCAGCGCGTGACAGGAGGTGCTCGTGAGACCCAGGACCTGTTCGAGGATGAATTCGTCTTGGCTGGTTGGCTTTTGGCCCTCCGCGTCTCTATCTGAAAGGACTAGAGTACCCGAAGCCATAATCTGAGATGAAATTCGCGACGACGATTGGCCGAAATCACGTGACTAAATTTATTTGACCATTTCTGAGGCTGCGCGGGCCATCCACGTGAACCTGTGGCTGAAGTAACTCGCCAGGATGTCACGACAGATGTGCCTGGAGTGCTTGGACATGTTGGGTGCTACAGGTGGCTAATGATACAGACCTAATAGTTCTAATGATTCCCGAAATCCGCATGAATTCCGGAATCCCGTGAGGACCCGCCTGTGATGTTGTTTATCGCCATTTGTTGGATTTCTTCGGCATTATTTTGAATTTCATGGCATCGTCCCTAAGATGGGAGAACACGGGATGTGACGTCATTCCGGTGCGGGCACTGTCGGTGCGCACCAATTTTTGGAACTTCTATCAAAATTTGGCATGTGAATAAATCATTTCAAGTCAATGGTACAATCAATTTAATAGCGTATAATTCTAACACTGGCCACTGATGAAGCAGAATTAGTTAGACAATGGATGTTACAGAACTAATCAAAGTGATGAAGAAGTTTTCTTCAAAAAGAGGGAGAACATTTTTAAAAGGCGCTAATTATGGACTGAATTGTTTTCAGTTTATATTTCATAATTTTTCCATTTAAAAAATCCTTAAAATTTTAAATATGATAAATTGAAGATACCTGAATGTCTTAAAATGGCAAATATGTATAATTGAAGATACCTGAATGTCTTAAAATGGTAAATATGATAGAATTGAAGGTACTGGTATGTATTTAAATGATTAATATGATGTATTGAAGTGATGTATTGTATGACTTAAAATGTTAAATATGATGAGTTGAAGATACTTGTATGTCTTATAATGTTAAATATGATAAATAGAAGATACTTGCTTGTCCTTTTTGTTTGGGTAGCAAAGATAAAAAATGAAGGACTGCGTTCATGCTTGGTGAAGAAAATAGAAGAACGAAGTACGGGGAAGTTTGAAATATTTTTGTCATTTTTACTCTCTGCTGAGGAAGGCTCTTAACCGAAACTTTATTCTTTTATTTTCCCGTCTTTCTATTTCACACTTCCACCTACATTGCTCTTCCATTTTCTTTGGGAACCAAATTATGTAAAGGGAAGTAATCGTTTAATCATAGCCGTACGTGGTTTTAATCGGCTTTAGCTCCCTTGGTTTGAAGCATTGTTGGCCCTTTTTGCCATGATTTTAAGAGCTTCCAAGTGACGGTGTCTTGTGTGGAAGTTAGAAGACAGACACTTGAGTAGTTAACTCCGGTCTTGGAAGTCAAAAACTTTGAACGTTTATTTAGCTTTGCATGACATACCTGGTAGGGCAGAAAGTAGGCTTGTATTGTGAAGGCCAGAGCAGTGGTCCGCAACACCGGTCAGCGAGCCGCGTGCTGCTGGTCTGCACAACACGAGCCAAGGAACTGGGGAACCAAAAAAAAAATTTCTCTCGTTTTGAGTCTCGTTTCAAAAACCAACATTTATTAGCTTGTCAGTAAGCAGGTTCACCTTTGGTTAGCTTGTCTATACGCAGGTCCAACTTTGGTTAGATTGTTGATAAGCAGGGCCACCATTGATTAGCTTGTCAACAAGCAGGTCCACCATTGATTAGCTTGTCAATAACCAGGTCCACCTTTGGTTAGCTTGTTGATAAGCAGGTCCACCTTTGATTAGCTTGTTTATACGCAGGGCCACCATTGATTAGCTTGTCAATAAGCAGGTCCACCTTTGGTTAGCTTGTTTATACACAGGTCCACCATATTGATTAGCTTGTCAATAAGCAGGTCCACCTTTGATTAGCTTGTCGGTAAGCAGGTCCAACTTTGATTAGCTTGTCGGTAAGCAGGTCCAACTTTGATTAGCTTGTCGATAAGCAGGTCCACCTTCTATTAGATTGTTGATAAGCAGGTCCACCTTTGATTAGCTTGTCGATAAGCAGTTACACCTTTCTTGATAGTCAACGTTAGCTAAAATGATTACCTCTTTAATTTTTTTGATATTCCATATTACCACTTAATCTGTAAATATATTTACCTTTTATTTATTTTTTGTAAAAATTACCATTAAAAATTTTAATTTAATTTCTAAACAAGCAAGGCAGAACAATATCTTTTTCTTTAAAAAAAAACAAAAAAAAAAAACTTTTACTCTAAATATTTGAAGGTCATACTTGATAGAGCCCCGTCCAACGGCCTGATTAAAGAAATATATATTTTATGACATGTTATGATCAAATAATTCGCCACTCTTAATGAAAGAGCTTTAAACAAAGTCTGCTCCGTGCTGCCGTACAAAAGATAGAAGCTCAAATTTTGTCTCACCACTATCTGTGAAATCTTCTGTGTCTAAGACCTAGAGATTACACCCAATGTCCAAACTATCTGTGAAATCTTCTGAGTCTAAGACCTAGAGATTACACCCAATGTCCAAACTATCTGTGAAATCTTCTGTGTCTAAGACCTAGAGATTACACCCAATGTCCACACTATCTGTGAAATCTTCTGAGTCTAAGACCTAGAGATTACACCCAATGTCCAAACTATCTGTGAAATCTTCTGAGTCTAAGACCTAGAGATTACACCCAATGTCCAAACTATCTGTGAAATCTTCTGTGTCTAAGACCTAGAGATTACACCCAATGTCCAAACTATCTGTGAAATCTTCTGTGTCTAAGACCTAAAGATTACACCCAATGTCCAAACTATCTGTGAAATCTTCTGTGTCTAAGACCTAGAGATTACACCCAATGTCCAAACTATCTGTGAAATCTTCTGTGTCTAAGACCTAGAGATTACACCCAATGTCCAAACTATCTGTGAAATCTTCTGTGTCTAAGACCTAGAGATTACACCCATTGTCCAAACTATCTGTGAAATCTTCTGTGTCTAAGACCTAGAGATTACACCCAATGTCCAAACTATCTGTGAAATTCTCTGTGTCTAGGACCTATAGACTACACCTGATGTCTACGCTATCTGTGAAATTCTCCTGATCTAAGGCAGTGGCTCTCAACCTTCCTAATGCCACGACCCTTTTATACAGTTCCTGATGTTGTGGTGACCCCCCAACCATAAGTTATTTTAGATGCTACTTCATAAATATCTGCTTTATTGATGGTCTTTGGCGACCCCTGTTTAAGGGTCGTTCGTCCCACAGGTTGAGAACCGCCTATAGACTACGCCTAATGTCTGAACTACCTTTGACAGCTCATTTAGTATTAACAATACTTTCGTGGGAACTTTCGTGAAGGTAGCCCCTCATCTGGTGCGTACAGCGCCAGACTTATCACACGGTGAAAGGCTGGGAACCCGACACACCAGGCCGTGATAACACCATCGGGCGCCGCGTCGCTTGTTGGCGAGTCCGACTTTTAATCCCGGTCGTTCGCAACATTCCTGGGATATTGGTGACGTATTAATGGGGGAGATTATTGTGAGTCAGTCTTAATACGAGCCGAACAGCTGTGGTCATGTTAGTGTGTAGCCGATGACAAATCGGCACATCTGTTTGGACTACGCCTGGCGACGCGTACCTGTAGTGTAAGTGCTCTCATATTTAGATTACACCAATATTTGTTGTCTAGGATTAAATTCTACATAGTGTATTCAAGACTAAACGCTTATATTGAACAGTGTAGTAAAGACTACCTCTAAGCAGACATTCGTGAATGTTAAGCTGAATACTAAATACATTTTCTTTTCTTCAAACATAATATAGTATGGCATTATGTCATATTGTATGTGTATGTGGAGCGCTCAACGTAATTCTCCAGTATATGTAAACAGACTATGTCCATTTGAAAGTAAGGGTGCGAAAACTTAAATAATTCAATGTTAGAGATTTTTTTTTTAAAACAAATAATCCAATGTGGATGAGATGTTTTCAGCTGTTTAAATTTAAGCTGGTACCGGTAACTATAATAACAAAAATAAAACACTAATGTTGTCTACTAGTTCCACTACGTCGATAACTGCATCATGTTGAAGGAGATCATGTACAAACTAAAATAGATAATATTATGTCAGCACATTATTTCGGATGATTGATTGTTAGTCCCTAGAACATTTAGGTACTACACGTCATCTATTTTAGTGCCTTGATAACATGGCTGGTCTTGTCTTGATAGCAGGGCAGGTCTTGATGACATGACAAGTCTTGATGACATCATAAATACTAAGGCTGTTTGAAATGAATTATCGGAGAATAAGGGAAGACAACGGGAATGAATATGAGAAAATATAAATACAGAAAGGGAGTAAATACCATTGTATATTTTAAAAAAATGAAAATGAATTATAAATACGAGAATATATTTAAGAAAGAAAATAAATAAATATGGGAATATATAAAGATAACAAAGGAATAAATACGGGAGTATATAAAGATAGAAAGGGAATAACTTCGGGAGTAAAGAAAGAAAGAATGATATTAACATGGGAGTGCATAAAGAGAAGGCGAAATAAACACGGGAAACTATAAAGAGTTCAAGAGAGAAAGGAAAGAGATGTTGGTGTTTAATTTAAGAGAAATGAAACCCGATAGCGTACATAGCCTACTATCAGAAACAGCGTTGTGCTATTGATGACACATAGAACCTTGTTGCACAATGGGGGGGGGGGGGGGGGGGGGGGAGGGGATTTCATTTATGATAACTTCACCAGAAAGCCCGAATAGCCCCGCCCCCTTTTCGCTTGCCTCCCAAGTAGAACCCCAAAACATAATCTCTCACATCACTTCAAAACACCTCCCCTAGCTTTCCCTCAACACAAATCAAGTAACGAACTATTGCAGTATTTGTGGCACTGAGAGGCCTTCCACTTACTGTACATGAAACTAAGCCAACAACATTCAGAATATTTTGCTATCATGAAACAAAGCCACAAACAACAATGAGTATATTTTGCTATTTAACATTTCCTGTCTTAAATATACGATCCACTCACACGATCCACACACACATCCACACACACAGACACACAACCCCCACCCCTTTTTTTTTTTTTCACACACACACAAATAACATCACAGCTTCTTAAATTCCTCCAAATGAATATTTAATGACAGATATCTTATGCCCCAGTAAATATCATAGGATTTTTCATGTGCGTTCTAATTGTTTGCGCTTAAAGAAAAATATGAATAATTCGACTTTCCTCAAATGTTCTTGCGTGGTGTGTGAGCCCGAGTTCTGTCTCCACGTGTTATGAGAAGTGCAGTGCCGTTGTTGTTATGCTATCTTATTTTATATAGTACTGTGCCATAGTTGTTATCTTATCATATTTTAAGTAGTGCCATTGTTGTTATCTTATCATATTGTATGTAGGACTGTGCCAT